CTGCCCAGGCGGGTCTCGAACCCGTGGGCTTAGGCAATCCATTCACCTCAGCCTCCCAAAGGCACGTGATTACAGGCTGAGCCACCGAGTCCGGCTTGTTCTCATTTTTCTAAACTTTATAGTAAAATATACTTTTTAAAAAGTCAGGCACGGTGGCTCTCACCTGTAATCCTAGCACTTTGGGAGGTGGAGAAAAGAGGATTGCCTGAGCCCAGAGATTTGAGACCAGTCTGGGCAACATGGCGAGACCTACAATAAATAAAAAATGAAGGCCAGATGTGGTGGTTCACATTTTAATTTCAGCCCTTTGGGATGCCAAGGTGAGAGGACTGCCTGAGCCCTCGGGTTTGAGACCAGCCTGGGCAACTTGGCGAGACCTCATCTCTACAATAAATTTAAAAAAAAAAAATGCCATGAGCATGCCACTGCACAACAGCCTGGGTGGCAGAGTGATACACTGACTCAACAACAAAAATATACATATATATTTAATATATATAAAAATACTTATTATATATATGTCTTATTATGTATATACACTAACTATACTATATAACATATGTGCTGCCCAAGACAATTCCTCTTTACTTGATGCGACCCAGAGAAGCCAAAAAGTTGGATACCTCTGTGCTAGCGAAATGGGCAGACCACACCGACCTGTGTGGTCAAAAATAAGGGAAGATGGCTAGGTACGATGGCTCAGCCTGTAATCCCAGCACTTTGGAAGGCCGAGGTGAGAGCATTGCCTGAGCCCAAGGGTTCAAGACCAACCTGGGCAACTTGATGAAACCTCGTCTCTACAATAAACCACAAAAAACTAGCTGGGCATGGTGACATATGCCTGTAGTTCCATCTACTTGGAAGGCTGAGGTGGAAGGATTGCCTAAGCCCCCAGCAGGTTGAGGTTGCGGTGGCCATGAGCATGCTGTTAAACTCCAGCCTGGGCAACAAAGAGTGAGACTCCAACTCAAAAAAATAAAATAGAGCCGGGCTCAGTGGGTCAGGCTATAATCCCACGCTTTGGGAGGCTGAGGTGAGTGGATTGCCTGAGTCCACGGGTTCGAGACCCGCCTGGGCAACTTGGTGAGACCTCGTCTCTACAATAAATCAAAAAATTAGCCGGGCGTGGTAGCGCGCACCTGTAGTTCCAGCTACTTGGAAGGCTGAGGCGGAAGGATTGCCGGAACCCAGCAGGTCGAGGCTGCGGTGGCCGGGAGTGGCCACTGCACTCCAGTCTGGGTGACAGAGTGAGACTCCAACTCAAATAAAATAAAATAAAATAAAATAAAATAAAATAAAATAAAATAAAATAAAATAAGGAAAGATGGGAGGTAAGCCTGAGTATGGAGTATAGGGCCCAACACCCAAGGTCTTGAAAAGCAGACAATGGAATCTGACAATAGGGAACTAACTATTGCATGTGCTAGAGTAGTGACCTCATATGGTGGAATAAGATTAAGAAGGAATCCTATAAAATGGAGGCAATCAACACAAACTTAACAGGTGAAATAGGGCGATTTCTGAAAGCATTTACCAAAGTTGTATTTTATTTGTACGCCTGTATAAGCCTTATTAACTTTTAGGCTTAGCAACAAAGGAGGCTGCCCCATCTTCTCTTAGGGAGCTCAGTACCTGGGGCAAAGGTACCTGCCACATCTAAGGAGACTTAAGGACTCAAAACCGGCTTGGGCTTCAGCAAGTCTCTTCCCCACATTGTGAAACCCAAACAACAGGGCTCCCACTTGGGGTCCTTCTGTCTCTTGGGGAGGATTTTCAGGCTCTATGAGGATAAAGAAAACCTGTCTAGGCCAGGCACAGTGGCTCACGCCTGTAATCTTTGCACTGTGGGAGACCGAGACAAGAGGATTGGCTGAGTCCGGGGGTTTGAGACCAGCCTGGGTAAACTGGTGAGACGTCATCTCTACAATAAATCAAAAAGCTAGCCAGGCATGGTGGCCTGTGCCTGTAGTTCCAGCTATTTGGAAGGCTGAAGCAGAAGGATCACCTGAGCCCAGCAGGTTGAGGCTGCAGTGGTCATGAGCATGCCACCGCACTCCAGCCTGGGCAACAGAGTGAGACTTCAACTCAAAAAATAAAAAGCCAGGCTCGATGGCTCAGCCTATAATCTCAGTACCTTGGAAGACCGAGGCGAGTGGATTGCCTGAGCCCACGGGTTCGAGACCCACCAGGGCAACTTGGCGAGACCTCATCTCTACAATAAATCAAAAACTGCTGGGTGTGGTAGCACGCGCCTGTAGTTCCAGCTACTAGGAAGGCTGAGGCGGAAGGATCGCCGGAGTCCAGCAGGTCGAGGCTGTGGTGGCCGGAAGCATGCCACTGCACTCCAGGCCGGACGACAGAGTGAGACACCAACTCAGGAAAAAAAGAAAGAAAGAAAGAAAGAAAGTTAGTCTGGTTGCAGGAGAGGGCATCTCGGCTTTCTTGGGAAACCTCACCTTAACCTGGCCTCAGACTGACCATCTAAGAAAAGAAGTTGAATGTGCTGTGCTGCCTCCTTGGCTTGGAGAGGGGTTAATGTTTACCGATCTCTCCAGCTCATGCCTTCAAATGCCAACCAGACTCTCTACTCTGGAGACAGACGACAGACAATTGCTTCCTTGCTCTTTTTTTTTTCTTTTTTGAATTGGAGTCTCACTCTGTTGCCCAGACTTGAGTGCAGTGGCCGCTCCCGGCCACCGCAGCC